GGGTCTCAGAGTCCTTCCTTGGCCGTGGGCAACCCTCTGGGCCTCAAGGCATCTGGGCACCCAGCTCATAGGACTCCTGGGAGATGAAAGGCGTCGGCACCTGGGAGGGGCTGGTGTCCCCGCAGGGCTCCACAGAGAGGGGCTTGGGTGGAGAAAATGTGAGAGAGGCAGGGCCGCAGGAGGGCCCCAGACCAGCCGAGAAGAGGATGGCTGTGCGGAGAGCAGGGAGCATTGGTTGGGGGGGGACGGGGACAACTGGCCTTGTAAGGGGCCATAGGACGTTCTAGGAGTAGCCCAGGGATGGCCCTTGGAGGCACCTGAGGTCAGATGTGACTAAGGGGAACAAGGTGTTTGCTGTTGGCAAGTGTGAATAAAGCCTCTGAACGCAGTGGTGTCTCTTCATAACACCCGAGTGGGCTCATTAGCCGCTGTGCTAAGTGGCCGTGGGCAGTGCTCAGGGAGCAGGAGCCTGTTTTAACGCTGGCTCGGCCACCATTATGGCAGGCCCATATCTAGTGCTCTGAGCCAGGGCCAGACCAGAGAGGGCCCGGCCACAGGCTGCGACCCACAGGTCAAGGACGAAGCGGGCTGGTGTCCACTGACCTAGTGAGAGCAGCCCGAGACTGTGTGCTGAGTGCAAATGCGAAACCGTAAATGCAGCAGCGCTCAGCACAGAGCAGACTTGTGAGGAAACTTCTGGAAGGTCCTCATGCACCCTGGCGGGTTTTTAACAGTGCTTCTAGGTTCTCTCCAAGATGTTCACGGGCCTGTCTTCATTTATCCTCAGGAAACTTCGAAGAACGCAGAGCCGGTGAACTGAGAAAACACACAGTTTTTGAAATGTTATTTTTTTATTCTGAGAAAAAGATGGCTGGAGAGCTGGAGCAACCGGCCAAGGGTCACAAGACAGATGGGTGACTGAGCCAGGACTTCCTGGAGGGTCTAATCCCCATGTGTAGTGTGGCCCGTCTTGGTGGGCCTGGCTCTTGCCCCAGACCACTCCAGGTGGACTCTTCCAGAGACGAGGAGCAGCGTCTCATACTGAGACGTGGCCGGCGGAGGTGGAGAGGATTTTTGACCGCAAGTTCATGTCATTGTTTAGCTCTTTATCTTGTGTCTTTGGGCAAGTCACTTCTCAGGGGTGTTACGTTTCTAATTCTGTGTCACATGGCTTTCCACGCTGGCTGCAGATTAGAATCCCTTGGTGAGATTTTCAACACTCCCCACGTCGCAGACAGCAATGCTCACGGAAGCAGCAGTCGAGAGCATTGGGCCACTCTGCTGCACAGGACCTCGTGAGAGGACTGGGGTGCACCTGGCCCAAGCCACGGTGTTTTCAGTCGCCTCTTAGGCACGTGAAGGATGGACCCTGAGTAAGGAGGACCGAAGAAGAATTGATGTGTTTGAACTGTGGTGCTGGTGAAGACTACTGAAAATACTGCTCAACGGACAAATCTGTCCTGGAAGAAGTCTGGCCAGGGTGCTCCTTAGAGGCAAGGATGTTGAGACTTTGACATGGTGTCAGAAAAGACCGTCCTGTTTGGCCAGAGGAAGGCTCTTAAGCAGAGGGATGACGCCGTGGCTGCAACATTGGGCTCAAGCACAGGAGTGACTGAGGAGGGGGCACGTCAGGGCAGCGCTTCCCTCGGCCGTGTGCAGGGTCGCCATGGGTTGGAACGGACACTCGATGGCCCTAACAACAGCAGG